CCGCGCCGGCCGTTAGCGGCCCTAACGGTCGCGGCGGCGGCGGGGGTCACGAGTGGGTGCGAGCAGCTCGCGAAGTGTCAGCAGCAGCCGTGCCCTCCCCGCACCAGCGTTAACGGCCACAGCGGGGGACAAGCAGGTCAGTGATAAATAGAGCTGGAAGGTTTTAATTGCTGCTTTCAAAAAGCAACACGTTCCGATCATAAATATGGAAAAAYGGGGCCTTAGATTAAGTGATTAAGTTATCCAAGACTCCAAAGGGTCATATTCAAGGCTTTGCATAAGAATCTAACTCTAATATCTCTGCTTTAAAACTACTTCAGTTTATATTGGTCAAATCCATTAACGCCATGGTGCACACGACTGGCCTGGCAACACCATCTTTGGTCGAGCACAAGTTGAGGTAGGGGCCTGACCTCAGAACAGACGAGTAGTCTAAGAATGCACCTGTCTGCCTACAACCAAACACCAMCGCCTGCAGCACCTGTAGCCTCAGGCTAAAAAATGTAATACCTCGGGGTCAGGGGTGCTTAACCAAAGCTCAGCGAGGGAGATTTCCRTTCTGGAAGATACTGCCCACATAGGGGCAGGTGCTCCTCAGAGCACGCTCCCCTCCAGCCGCGCTTGCCAGATCCCATGTCACTGCTGGATTGTCACCTCCGCTCACAGCTCTGGATCCCAAGGGGTAAAAAACATCAAGATATTTCCCCAAAGGAAAATAGGGAGCTTTACTTCAGCTTTTTAAACACTGATCATCCTGAAGATTGATCTACCTGCCTGGTCCTCTTCTTCTCTTAGGAAGAAGGTCCTCTTTCTATCTTTCTTATAGGTCTCTTCCTATAGGTCCTTCTTCCTATCTTTCTTCCCTTGATCTGCTCATACACCTCTAATCACACCACTGACTCCCCAAGCAACTGCTGCAGACCTAGGGACCTGAAGTGCACCTTGGGGAGCACTTTGGGCAAATAACTTTGGAAACATCCCGGCGCTTCTGCCTTTTGCTGGCCTCCAATTGCAGGAAGCATCCTGGAGCCGGGATGTCAAAGGCTGCCAGTTGTTCGTGACCACTTCAGACACTCAGTTCACAAGTGTCCATGAAGGAAAACACAGGAAACCTGTCAGTACTTGATAGTGTTCAGAAACGTACATGATGTTGTTCCTACTCCTTCTCACAGCGACTTTATGCCAAGGCCATACTTTTCAGTAAACTATGTGAATGTACAGGTTAGAGTTTTTTTTTTTTTTTTTTTTTTTGCAAGCTCAGCTGATTGCTGGTTGAGTTCTAGACAAGATGGAAGAACATTTAGCACGTGGTAATGATTTGAGAGAGAGTGTCCTGGAGGCAATCTCAGAGCAGCCTCTAGATTGTGGAAGAAAGGTGAGACCTTAAATGCAAGTAACAGCAGAGGGAAGAGAAGAGCTAGTCTGTCTCTTTCAGTGAAAAGGCAGTGCTCACAGCTCACCTGCAACTCTGCACGTTGATTAACAACCTTGTAGCTTTCAAGGGCAGCCGCAGAACAGATTAGGCACTGGGGTACCCTCTGTTTTACTGTGCAGCTGGCACATGCCGTGCAAGTCCTTACTCAGCAGCAGACCAGTACTGTGAACAAGACAGACCCCCACGGTCTGATTATCTTTCTTACAGCCTGTTGACAGCAAATCTCTGGTTGCGAGAGCCATTCTGAGCGCTAACTGATGTTGCATAGCAAACACCTTTATGCTTTTTTTCTTCTTCCACCTACATAAATACCACAGTGCGAGTAGTGTAGCAGCAAGAGTGCAGCTGTTGTCAGCATGGATTCACCAAGAAGAAATCATGCTTAACCAACCTGATGACCTTCTATGATGGGATGACTACGTAGAAGAGGGGAGAGCACACGGTGTTGTCTACTTTGACTTCAGCGAGGCTTCTGACACTGTCTCCTTGGTATATCCTCATAGCTAAGCTCAGGAAGCGCAGGCTAGGTGAATGGACAGTGAGGTGGACTGAAAAGTGGCTGAATGAAGTTCAAGGCAAGGGCAGGGTCCTATAAGTAAGGAAAAGGAACTGCATGCACTAGTATGGGTTGGGAGAGCAACTCTGCAGAGAGGAACCTGGACATCCTGGTGGACAAGCTGACCATGATTCAGCAATGTGCCTTCGTGGCCAAGAAGGCCAATGGTACCTGGGGTGCGTTAGGAAGAGTGTTGCCATTGGGTTGAAGGAGGTGATCCTGCCCCTCTACTCGGTCCTGGTGACGGCACCTGAATTGGAGGTAAAAACATCTTGATGGCGAGGCTGACAGAGCACTGTAACAGGTTGCCAAAGAGGGGGCAGAGAATTGCACAGGATGCGATCCTGTGCAATGTGCTCTAGGTGACCCAGCTTCTGCAGGTGAGTTGGACTATACAATCCCCAAACCTTTATCATTCTGTGGGAGTTTTGGTCTCCTAGAGAGATCTTCTAGGACTTGTTAGAGAGGGAAGGACAACCTTTCGGGATAATCTGCTAAAAGAACTGTCTCATCTCTGGCTTGTTGACTGACTTGATGTCCAAAGAGAGGCACCAGCATCCATGCTGCATCCACCTGGGACTGCATAGAGTTGTGCCTATCTCAGCTCTAGAAGAGTATAAGAAAGATGAAGCATCTGAATGACTTCACCCACAATACGCAAATGAAATTCAATACTGCTGAACTAGATTAAAAACCGGTTACAACCAGTTCAACGCATCAATATACTTGCAGTTAGTACGAGCATGTTGTTTTTGCTGATAACATCATGAAGCATCTCCATTTCATAGAGATGAATTTTTTGGAGCTTTCCATTCTTGAAAGTAATCTGTATTTCAAGAGGATGGCATTTTAGCTCAGGACAAAGCCAAGAAGTTGTAATATTGGTACTTACAAACAACTCTACACAATCTCTTGTTGGTCGTACTTAGATAAAAGCCTTTATTAGCAACATAAGGGACTCACAAAGGTAGGGCTAGAAGTATCATCCCATTGCAAAACCTACCTACGCTTGCCACAGGGTGCCGTTTCCTCTGCAGTAGGAAAATCAGATCATATTTGAGTGTTTCCTGCCTGGAGGTTCTAGAAGTCTCTCTCATCACAGTATATAAATACTTCACATTTAATTTAATGCTAGATATGTCACTGGGCACGCTGAAGGTTGTTCAGCTGAAGTGACTTGGATTTTCAAGAGCTCTTGTTACTGTCCCTCCTAAAAGTCTAACTAAAGTGCCCCCAAAATGAAGGGGAATGATCATTTAATGAATTAATTACTGACCACTACTGACTACAAGAATAAAAAGTTGGAGGTTACCAAGGAATCCCTCAGACGAGTTCGTGCTCAGACTTTCAACATTCAATATTTAGCTGCAAAAAGGGTAAACAAAAAGATAGCGGTTTACAGAAAACCTATTTGATACAGAAGTGAAAACACCCTCTAGGAGATTCTTTTGCAGCTCGTTTAAGTACAGATTGGCTGGACAGAACAAGTGAACTTCAGAGTCAGATGTAAATTAAAAAAAAAAGAGCTTTAAGTATGCCTAAAGTGGTAGTGGTCTGAACCGGTGATTACTCGAAAGAGCACTACTAGTTATCTTTCTGCAACTAATTCCAGGATCTCTCTGAGCTGCTTCATTTACRTCTGTGTGAGTACAAGCTTGATGGGCCGTTGTTGCCAAAGCAGCAAACGGAATGTTCAAAATCATGAGGACAGAGTCAAGTTTCTCTTATTGCCTAGATGGATGCAAATCATGGAAGGCTGAAAGTACCGCGACTGACATACCTGCTCTATGCTGTCCTGTTTTTATACTGGGCAGCTGGCATAGACCTCATCTGACTTGGTACAAGCAGTCTTGGAAATGAGGTTACACCTTCTGAAGTAAGGGCAGATGCTCGGTAAAATTTCCTCAGGCATCTAGAATTTCAATTTTGACACTAAATGATAAATGTAGCATCAGACAGGAATCTGAACATCTACCACAAGGAAGATGTGTAAGAGCAGGCTAAAAGGGATGCATGCTGAGCATTAGCAGGTAAACTGCAGGATGTCAGACACACTGAAAGTATGGATTACTGCAGAGCTGTCACACCACTTTTCTGAGGTCATTTCAGAGCTGGAAACTGCAGCTCTCTCCAGCTGACCACTTTTAGCTGTAATTAGCAAGCTCCCTCATATCTTTTGAGGTAAATAAACATCTTTCTGCCAAACCACCAGAAAGACCATTGAAAGACCAAGAAAATGATAGGCTTAGGCTTAGGTTAGGCATAACCTATCAACGCTCATTTT